TTTACTTCCGTGGTGGATAGTTCAATGGAGCTGTTGGTTATGGTATAAGCAAAGAGGAAGTGTATCTATATAAACACGATATGGCCCTAGAATTCGTGAGTGCGAAAATATTTCAATTACTTGTCCTTTCTGTTCTCACAAATGTTTCTTTTCTGGCACTAAAAATTTATCGGAGGGTAATGTGGGGGGTCTTAATAAATCGATCTAGTGCAAGGGCATACACTCTATGGACCAAAGTAAGCTTTTACATTTCAACTATAGAACTGTTAATGTATCTGGAAAGAGCTGCGATCCGGATGAAATCTCAGAAACAATTTGATTATATCATTATTTCATGCCGCTGACCAGCAAAAAATATAGCATTCGGCCATACAAGTATAATTTTAACAATGAAATTGCAGAATTTAGACATGATCGCAGCACTTTTTAAAAACTACAATGCGTGTTGAAAATATTTATATACTAAACTTGGAAATTTAACTTTGCTATGCTCTTGCACTATTGATATTTATATGTAACATCAATACTTCAAGTCAATGTGCTAAAATCGCGTGACTGCCGCATCACATGACTAGTTTTAATATAAAATATAATCGTCTTCGATATGTAGCTATTAATCATAATTACAATTATCTGATATAAATCATGTACTAAAAATAATCGCCATCCCGATTACAGATACATTTTTAAATACAAAATTTAGTCGATATTTCCTTTGCGCACCTTAACTGTTCTGCGTATGATTTTGCGTATTAATTAACAATTCCTGTGGATAATTCCGGGTAAAACCCACATTTCCTAGTCCTGTGATTTAAGCAAGACATTTAAAGAACATGCCATTATTTTTTTAATTACGAGGGTTGATCTAAAAGTTATGTCACAACTTAAATAAAGTTGTTATAAATCGACGTATAACAACAAAATTAAACATGATTAAAGCTGTATTTATTTCAAATCAGAGTAGAAAAATTCAACAAAATATGATTTATACTTTTCAAAATATCGGAATTTAAACAATGTGCGTTTATGGTAGTCGCCGCACCTAAATATAACATCATATGACGGATTTGCGTCGTCATACTTTTAAGTGTTTCCCCATCGTTACTTTAAAAAATATTTGTGATTTGCAAACACTCACCAATTTCACTTTCTTTAAGAATTCTTGGTACCATCAAACACTCACTCTCTTCATAATTAAGCCATCTTTCATTTTTTTAACAGTAGCATACGGCAAATTTAATAATTAACTCTATCCGTCTTGCTTTTTTGACAGCGTCAGACACCATTGAACGTTTCCCTCCGATCTCCTATCTTTCGGTCTTTTTGTGTTCTGCTGATCTTACAATGACCCATCATCCGCCCAAAATTGCTAAAATCATCTATAAAAAAGTCTCTTACTTACATTTCTTTATTCCGTGAGTCTAATTAATTAACGAAACTGTCGCTAGTGATGATTCCCATATTTTTGAGCAAAGATGCATTACAACTCATCTAGGCGTTTTCCCCCATTTCGACAAACCCTTTGTTCAATTCCAGAGAGTAAAACAACAATGTTTATGATCATAAATACCAATTTTGTCATTAAATTTTCATTGAAAGACTAGAAAATGATTTGAATTGTGTCTTTTAAAAAAATGAGAGATTTTGTGCTTTTTTTTAGAATCTTTTAAGGGGAAGAAGGACCTTTAGCTGAAAAAATACCTGTCATTTAATTTTTTTCATATTTTGTATATATCTTATTTAGTATGTCCTACATACTATAAAGCAGACATATAAATAGGTTTCTAGACTTATTTCTGAGATATTGAGTGACAAATACCATACCCCACAGTGTCTGAGCGGAGTATTTATTCTCCGTGTTTCTGGGTCCAGTACTCGGCCGATAATTGAAATTTTTCACCATAGATAAAAAATATACCAGCGGAAATGTGTCTTTTAAAATATTTTAGAGTATGAATAGGGTTAAAAATTCGAAAATGCAAGATTCTTTTGTAACACCACATCTGGAGACGTAAATTTACGACTTTTTTTAGGACAACTTAAACCATAAAAAAATTAATTTGCAAAAAATCCCATCATTCAATATTTGAAAATTTACGTCGAAGTTCAAGGTCGTCATTGTATTGATTAACTGTAAAAATATTGATTGGTGAAGCTGAGCTCAATATTGCACGGGGCAAAGTTAAACGAGTCATGACTATGAAAAAAACGTGTCATGTTTACATTTCTCGAGTACGGGAAAACCCAACTATGACGTCACACATTCCTGAAATAAGCGAAATAAGTCAAACCCACAGAACTTTTCCGTCAACAACCATGTAAAAATATTTTTTGCGTTCTGAAATTTACAAAATACCCTACCATGTACATATTATGGCCCGTTTTTATGATTTTATACTACCCGTTTTTACCGTGTATGATCTTACTGAACTAAGAGATCCACTATGACGTCAAAGACGCACTGGACGCGCAGAGTAGGGAAACGGCAGAGTGGATTAATCTATTCCGTAATTTGATAATATTTGCAAGAAATTTTGAATGTTTTCAGATATTTTTATACTAGATGGTGAACGCAAACAAACAGTCAAAAAAATTATACAAGTACTGTGGTTTCAATCTCGTTTTGTACATATTTTATCAGAGATTATGACGTAAATCAACTGAGTCACGTGACCATACATCCTTCATCCCCTTAAATGTTTTTTATATTTTTCATTTTTAGAAAAAAATACACTTTAAAATGTGCGTTCAGTTGTGACGCGGCGACACCCCCTAAGCTTTATGTTTTAAACATCTATAGAATAAATTTAAATAAACTCTATTAAATGAAAATTTCAATATTTATTAAATTAGTATTTGTGCATCTTTTGGTATTTTGTTTTTGATAATATGACGCCAAATATAAAAGATATGGACACTGTGACATTACTTTTGGATCAACCCTCGTAACTAATCCAAAAAAGAAAATTGAATTCCTTTCTTAAAGGATAATTTATAGCAATTCGGGTTGAAATTGGACCAAGGGTTCTTGAGGAGAATTTAAAAATGTGAAATGATTACATGCAAATATACGGAAGAATACAAGACAGAATGTTATCCTATAATCTTAGACGATTCTTCGAATCAGATTAGCTAAATAATATAAAACTAATTTCTTTATTAGTGTTCTCTATGAAAATAAAATTATTTTATCACTTTTTATATAGGAGAGGTAATGTCAAATTAAGACAGCTGTTATCATAAATATTAATCTTTTCTGTCTCATACCTGATTATTAAAAGAAAGAATAAAAAACAAATTTAATTTCAAGAGCAAAGTAAATAATCAATAAAGTGAATTTATACCAAAGACACGGGGTTTATATGAAAGACTCTTATAACCAGTCAGGCTAGGCGACGTGTTTGATATATTTCTATAAAATTATTTCCGTGTTTGCTTTGATATATTTGTATTGTTTTCTTAAATTTTGACCTTGAATACTGTACGTTTTCTCCATATTTTTCATTCTGAGAGTTGAATTATCAAGATATTATAAATCTGCATAGCAGGGAAGATACTTCCTTTATCATATATTTACTGTTTATAAAGTATACATTTTTTTTATTTTGTAAATAAAAAAAGATATATTCCTTGATTTTAGATGAATGCAACTCCCATTCTTTACTTCTAACAAGAATAAATAGATGATTATTTTTTTTTTACGCAGTCAACTTTTGAAAATTACTTTCGAATGATTTTCTTAATTTTTATATTCAGTAAGTCATTTTCATATAAAAAAGGAATCGTACATCATGTTTTAACTCATATAATGCTATAGCGTTTTCTTTATTTTATTTGCATATCATATGAATAGAAAGAAATTAGAAAATTTAAAAAAAAATAATCATGTATCAATAAGTTTAAGTTTGGGTGTAGCTTGATGGTTACATGTACCTCCCTACACAGCACAGTTAAGGTTACAAATGGAAATATCGGCGATTTTTAAGATAAGAAATACATTCTTTATTTGAATAGGCGATTCTCTTTAGGACTTCACTGATATCAAAAACATGTAGTGTGCTTAGGGATGTTAAAATTATTTTTAATTAGACTTTTCTAGATGTCTACGTCATATGATTTTAGCTATTCTACTTGCAGCTTATAGGTCATCTATAAATTCCAATATTGCAAGGGCATGACCAAATTAAAAATCTTACTTTAATTTATCGTCTTTTTAACACTATATGTAGTTTGTGTAAAGTGCTGCGAACGTATATAGATTCCCTTTTTTAATTGCTAAAATTAAATTTGTTGGACGGCAGGTTGAATATTTTGCTGGTCAGCTACATTAAATATAGCTATTATTAATTCATTTGCAAGATTTCATGAGGTTCAAAGCATTTTTAAAATATCTCAATGCTTCTTCAATTTATGGGTAAAAACTTGACAAGATACATTAAGGGTATGCCCTTGCAATAAATCATTTTATTAGGACCATTCCATTAATATTTCAATGAATCTACATACAAACACACGACAGTTTCACTTGTCTGGAGAATGTAACGACAGATTTTAATTAAAATACTAAAGTAGCATTGCATCCAAGTTAACGACATATAATTTAATTGCAAATAATATTTTATTCGATAAAATAATATGACTTGATCAGCCTCTCACTGTGTACAAACTGCGTCATTTTGCGAGATGACGTCACATTGACAAGTGCATTGCAATCGATGCATCGATTATAAACTGTTGTGTGGGATTTAACAAACGACGAAACTGCAGGTTATAGCAAGTTTGTTTGTAGTATGTAGTTCGTAGTATACAGCTATCCAGCTGTTTGAAATAGCAAATAAATTCATTTTGTGGTAATTTGAGAACCTTATAGTATGTGTGACGTCATAGTAAACATTTCCCGTACAAATTAGACCCTGCCTCCTTACTTTAACCTTAACTGTGGTGCGTATTTGTGGTTTACATACATTTTATATTATTTTGTAGTTACTTGTTCACCAAACCGGATATTGGCAAACTAACAAAGAAACATGATTCGGGAATTTTATAGCTCCGGGAGTAAAATACAAGGAACCTTTTATCAACCATTTATATATTTGCGTAGTCCTTCAACAGTGCATGATGAATACAATCTTCAAGCAGGGATATTTTTACTTTTTTACCTGGGATACTTAAAAGGAGGAAGGGTTTGTTAAAATAAACATGATGGAGCTACACGGCATCACTTTTCTGCTTGTGTTTAGTCAATTTCTTATCACAACTCATCAATATGGTAAGTTTTCCTTTTTGTTATTTCGTAAAATTCTAACAAAGACTAAAGAGTATTGAATATTTTGATATAAATATATAAAAAGGAAGGAGAAAATATATTCAGTCCAAAAGAAATATACATGTATAATAAAACTATACAAATAATCAGTCACAAATAGCATAAAATGCCTTTAAAACTTGCAGATACACGTCAATGGGTTTAAAGAATAGCTTTCACTTTTTTCAGAAAATCTTGCCGGTAGAAAACCTGTGAAGGTTAGTCAGAGGTACAACAATGGATACTTTGGACCAAATAAAGCTGTTGACGGAGACAGGAGTACTTACCTACTGGACTGCTCACTGACAGCCGCCCGTCAAAGGGAGGCGTGGTTAACGGTGGATCTAGGAGAGAGGAAACATATAGCATCAATATCAATCCTTCATGGGGGCTGTAAGCATTTGGATGTATGCGATTTGATAAATGCACTCATATATCCTGAAATAAGTATTCGAGGATTCTTTTTAAACATTTATTGTTTGTTTAATGAGCTTTTCTGCAGCCATTTAAGTATTACTTTGCCAAGGAATGCTTGTGTAAGCTTATGCTGTACAGAGATATAATTTTGGTATTATTGTAGAAACCTTCCGGGTAGTTTCAATATTTAATATTAAGAGTCTTTAACATATGTATGTCACTTACAGTGGGTCTCAACGCATCCTCAATAAAACCATCTGATTCTGGTCTCTTTCCTAACCCCCAAGGTGATGGAGTTGTGTTTGTTTATAATCCAATAAGACAACTTTGTGTAAACAACTTTGATGAAAAGGATGCCCAGGTCGTTTGCTTGGTCTGGGGATTTCTACCGTAAGTATAGACGTTTGATTTCTTCATGTGAAAGCTCAATGGCATTGTGAATAAAGTGGATAGTAATTAAGAGAACACAATGGATTTTGTTTTTTATTTTCCATTTTTATTATCCTAACATGCTTGTTTTATATATATATATATATATATATATTTCCGCCATTTATTAAAAGCATAAAAGCATATTTAAAGGTATATCTGAAATTTTCCTATTAAGGACAATCTTTAAAAAAGTCAATATTTCTACGTAGAAGCATTCAATTACTCTGTAACGTGGTAATAAAACAATCATAAATATATTTAAAAAATATATATTAAAGAATATTGAGGTCAACGTCGATGGTATTTTCATGATGCAATGGGGTAAAATTAAAGAAACCTATTTTTAAAAAAATGAAGGGCAAATAAAAGATTTCTGGTCGAATAAAGCTTTTAAGATACGACATCAGATATGGGTGTTATAAAAATAATAAATAAGGTAAAACGTTATAGATAATATGGAAAGAATTTTGTCATGATCATAAAAATTCCATATCGAATTATTGTAAATTAATCTAACCGTTTTTTGCTTTTATAGCATGGCAAATCTAGAATTTACGGTGCAGCAATATCTTCGACGGCGATCCGCTAGAGCATATTAAAGTCTTATTTCTCAGTTTCTAAACATTTTATCTTCAATTCTGATACTTTTATATTTGTGCTAAGTTGTCTACTCAGGATAAACATCCCTTTCTTAATTTTGTTTATGCTAAAATTCTATATAACTAGAAAAAAATTCTTTTTTGCTTTTCTCCCTTAAAATATTGATATTTCTGAAATATTGTGTGATATTGGATATTCTAAATCACACTTTTAACAGTCCAGGCCCCGGGATCATGAAACATCTTAAGCTTAAGTCAAATATTTTATGTAATAATAAAATGTTGTAAAGGTCCAGAACACTGAAATCATTTTTTTTTCAATATTGCTTCTCAAAAGTGTTGTTATCTGAAAAATTCGAAATAAATTCTTCAATTAATGAATATTTTATAGATAATTGAAATTTGACTTAAGTCTAAGTTTGTTTCATGATCCTGGGGCTAGGTACTGTAAATCACTTTTTATTTGCGAGAACTTTATTTTTGCGTAATTACGCGAGACAGTATGCTCGCGAAAATTTCATTCTTGCGTATAATAGAATAGAATAGAATATAGAAGATTATACCGTATTTGTGGAAATTTTAGCGGGACGCAAATTTAGCGATTTCTACCTAAAATATGGTATTTTATTTTTAGCGAGAAGTAATGTTAGTGATTAAAAAAAAAACTAACTTAAGAAGCCTTTACAATTATTACGGAATTATTTTTAGCGATATTCACTTTTAGCGATGTCAGCACCCTCGCTTATAATGCCAAAACTAAATCCTCGCTAAAAATTTTACTTATACAGTATAAAGCACTGACAACAATTCGTGAAAATTTTGTCTCGCTAATAAAAAGTCAATGACAATCTCGCGAAAATACGGGTATCGCAAATATTTAAGTGATCTACAGTAACGTTATGCCGATGATCTTCCTTGCCCCTCCTGGATTGCCCTTAACTGAGGTGTAAAGATATATTCTATTCTATTTGTTGACAGATGTCAGTGATATCCCAGTTTACTGCATATATTATCAATTACATCTAAGATCTCTATCGACCATTATACATATATTGACAAAAATACAATGCTCAATCAATTTAAGAGTCGTCATTTTTTTCAATTTTATTTGTATTAATTGACTCGGGGAAAATTAACCGTATTTTTTTTCTTCATGAATCAAAAATTACTGCTTAAATCGATTTACATAACAGTACGACGACACTGTGATATCTTTTAGAAAATTATCGATTATATCGCAAATAATAGGAGACAAGTGCGAAAAATTTTGGAATTGGCATGTTTCTGCTTTTTAATTACTTTAAATTACAAAAAAGATATCACCAGCAAAATATTTATCGAAGTATTTTAGCATTTACGAGATTTTCCAGAACTTATATTTCATGTTCTCTAAATATAAGATTTACGACATACGTATAAATTTCTGAGGAAAAACATGTTTTATCTTTTTAGAGATAACCCACTTATTTTCCCAATACCCGGAGAAAGAATATCGGCCCCATTTTATGAAAATATCTTGAACTGTGCCGGCAATGAAGTGAACATTAATACATGTCCAAAAGGATTTCCCGGCTGTCCATTAGGATCAACTCTAGCTTTAAGATGCAAAAGTAAGGTTCATCGAGAAAATTTGAAAACGTAATTTTTTCATGTTTGTATGTCGTTTAACGTCTCTCTCGAGATTTTTACCTCTCATGAAAAATCCCCTTATTATTATGCATTTCAGTTAATGCTCTCTTGTACGTGTCAGTTACATTATGTCAGGTACAGTTAATGAGAGTTTGTCTGCAGTTGTCCATCTCTAATTTGGGAAAATAAAACAATTTTACATTTTTTGATAATTTACAGAATTCTATTTATAAACATTGGTTATGATTGGTATAAATTGACAAATACCCTTAAGAATTATTATAATTATGCATTTAAGTTAATTCTTTTTATACTCGTTGGTAACTTTATGTCATTGACAGATCAGAACCATTTGACTGCACATTGTTCATCACTAATGTGAGAAAAAAGTGTAATAGTCTACATTTTCTAAATAATTTACAGTATGTTTATTTTTAAGGCCCTTTCACAATTGGCGCACGAGCAGAAGCGACAAAATATTCGTGCGACTGAATAATTTTGTCTAGGATCGTAAACTGTTGCCAAAATAATCGCATATGAAAAAATTTTCGTACAAAATGCGCACGATTTAAAGCGACTGTTGTGCATTAAATCTTGCGATATATCTTGCGTCTATATGCGACTGTTGTAGAATGAAAGCGAGTGTTGTAAGATAATGCGATAGGACTGCACGACTGATCAAGTAATCGGACGATTGAACGTGCGACAATACGATTGGACGTGTGGTGCTCGTGCGCTCATGCATTCTATAGTACGAATGTTCGTGCGAGTCAGAGGGCCGGGTATATATACCACCCGTTTCCGACGCTCTTCAGTTGACATAGTAAAGGATGCTTATAATTGTACATGACATAAATACATGTTGCAAAGAATGGCAATTGAATGTAATAAATCAAGCAATGATAGTAAAACGTTGCAAGATTACATGAGACATGTTGAACAACAGTCTCATGGTCGCAAAACACACGCAAAGACAGCTGCGATTTATCTTACGATCTTTAAAAATCATACATCACTCTTACGAGTACATAAAACGTTGTAAGACATTCGCACTAACTTTCGTGCGTTGAATTGCGATAATTTGGATCGCATTTGGTCGCGTCTGAATAGTGTGCATGTTCACTATTTTGAAGAGACTTGATGCGACCACTAAAACACATGCAATGAATGCGAGACATCGTGCAACGTATGCGAGAGCTCGTGCGAAGCTAAAATTTTCCGATCGCAAAGTGTTGTAAAGTGCTCGTGCGCCAATTGTGAAAGGGCCTTTAGATATGTGCTTCTATAAATAGAAATGGAAACTCTGCCTTTCATTATGCATTTCAGATAATACTTTCTTTTATTTTTTGGTCATTATATGCCAGTATCAGTTAATAAGAGCTAGTCTGCAAAATGTTTATCCCTAATGTGAAAAACTATATAAAAAAACTACATTTCCCTGATGTTTTGCAGTACGTCTATTTTTAAACAAGAGTTACTATTAATAGAAATGGACACCTCTGCTTATCATGCTGCGTTCTAGTTAATGCTCGTTTGAGCTTGTCAATCACATTATGTCAATTACAGTTAATGACAGTATGCAAATTTTCCATCTCTATGTGTCTAATTTTAGACATTTGTAACATTTATAGAAATGTGAGCCTATCCTCAATGATGTATGAGTTATTATATCATACCTTGTTCCTAGTGATGAATTATTAGAGAGATTCGTATGTTTATTACTTATGATTTATTGCAGCTATTAAATGATAGAAAACAGACATTAACTGGAATGCAGCATGATAAGCAGAGCTTTCCATTTCTTTTTATTGTAACTCTTGCACCTGTGATGCAAATTTCATTAAATCGGAGAGAATTCATTTTCAAGCCATACAGTAAAATTTTTGGTGCTTACAGAGAATGCTTGTTAATGTATGATTTTCTAAAGGATAAAATTCAATTATGGTCTTTTTAAGCCTTGTGAATTTCTTGGTGGACAACTGAAACTGCTAAGTTTTCTTTAAAAGTGCATTAAAATATCACTTAGATCTTTGTTTATTGAGTATCCTTCAAAAATGACACAATTTTCTGGACAACCAATGCATTATGATGTCACAAAATGCGTCAATTTCCTCATAATCTTAAAAAGACAACAAAAAAGGACAATTTTTAAAGGTATTTCTCGATATTTAATAGAGCGTAACCTCTGAACTAAAATATATAACTACATTTAGTAAATGAACTGTTTTTAGGATTAAAAGACAAGGTTTATTTTTTTTTAGATCAGAGAGTGTGCTCGTATTATTTTTCTTCACTGCAAGTGCCCAAATATACCTTCTAACTTTAGAATTCAGGAACATTGTAATTTTGTAAAGCTAGTTCTCCAAATCCTGGACTTTTGTGAAACAATTTTAATAGGAGTGAAAACACTAAGAATCTATTTTATTTTGATGCTTCAAATCGAACACCAAGTGTTAATCAATCTATTGGTATATCTACAGGGCCATTTTATACATCAAGTGAACGAACCGAGCTCTTTGTAATTTTTGCAATAATACATGTATGAAGACAGATTTGTCAAATCATATTATAATAGTATGTTGTGAAGCCAAGACTATTCTGTAAACAAATCACCACATAGAATAATTCATGTCTCTTTAAAAATTTCTCTCCAGAAGGCAGCACATCAAGAAGGGTTATGATTCATGTTTCATTTTTCTCACCAGACGGCAGCACACTCTCAGGATTTTCTGTGTACGTATCTGAAACAGAAGACTGGAGGACAGGAACTCTCTGTCATCAACATGACATACGACAAATACCACAAAATAACATCAATATTGACTGTGTCACTTCCGGGCGCTACGTCACTGTTTACAATACAAGGAATAGAACGATATACCCAAATGTATCCGAATTTTCATATATTAATATATGTGAAATCGAAGTTAAAGGTAACGGTTTTCCTCTCTTTGATTGATGGATAAACACAAAAGAATTATCTTATTTTTTGGATATTTCCTATCACGCTTTCTACTTTTTGTCGCCCGCTTGAAAAGTGGGGGATATTAATTTGGGTCTCTCCGTCCGTCCGTACAGCTGTCTAGCTGTCCGTCCGTCATTCTGTCTGTCTGTAACGCGTTCGTTTCCACACGATTTCTCGAGAACCCTTTGAGCTTTTGCAATGAAATTTTGTATATCAACTCCCTATGGAACGAAAAAGAACCCTATTGATTTTGAGGTCAAAAGGTCAAAGGTCAAGGTCATAAATTCGCAAATTCTGTCTGTTATAACACTTTCGTGTCCGCGTGATATCTCGAAAACCCTTTGAGCGTTTGCAATGAATGAAATTTTACATAGCAACTAACTCCCTTTTGCCTTAGGAAGACCTTTATTGATTTTGAGGTCAAAAGGTCAAAGTTCAAGGTCGTAAATTTTACCATTATGTCTGTGTGTAACACTATCCTTTCTGGGCGATATTTCAAGTGGATTTTGAGCTTTTGCAATGCAATTTTATACCAAAACTTTCTAGGACCTCTCTCCATATAAAAAGAATCTTCTATACACATAATAAAGATTGATTGATTGATTGATTGTATATTGTGTAACGTCCCTCTCGAGATTTTTTTACTCATATGGAAACGTCACCGTATGCCGGTGAAGGGCTTCAAATTAAGACCTATATTCGGCACTCAGGGCCATTGAACAGTAGGGGTTCTTTATCGTGCCAGCGCTTACCGTGACACGGGACCTACGTTTTTAAGGTCATATCTAAAAGACCCGCGACTTTCACTATTGATGCCGACCGCTCGGCAAAGGAACAGTCACTACCTATTTTTACGTCTTAGGTTTGACGCGTCGCCACGAACGAGAATCGAACCCGGGCCTCCCGATCACGAAGCGAACGCTCTACCACTAGGCTACCGTGAACGGTCACATAATAAAGAATAAGCAATCAAATCTTTCTATGCATATTGACATAAATGTATTTTATTTGCTTCAGTATACATGAATACATCTAATAATTTTACAAACTCAGTCAGGGGATCCGACTTTTTCCCTAAGCGGAAGACACGAATTCTCTGAATAAGCTTGTTACTTTTGTTTTTTGTTTGTTTTCTTGTGTTGTGTCACTGGTGGTTATTCTAAACAAGCTTTAGCACAAGCTAAACAACCATAGAAGGACAATAAGTAAAGAAAATATATATTTTTTTTATTTCGAAAATACAAAAAAAGAAGTAAATAAATAACAAGAAAAAAAAATGAAAAAAAAATCATGGCGTTTCTTTTTATATGTTTTTTTTTTAATTTTTATGTTTTTTTTTTTTTTTTTTTTTTTTCTTTGTACAATTTTGATAAACGGGGCCGAGTCCCATCTTTTTGATTTCGTGCAGTCATAAATTCGATAGTACACCAATTCCAAATATAGTGCATTTGATATAAAATAATATATCCGTAACTCATAATGGTCCGAAAATGAAATTTTATGACAATTAGTAGGGAAAAACTTTGAATGGCTCTAACAATGTCTTTGTTTTCCGATTTTGTAAGCAACTCACGACGCTGAAGAATGACACATGACTCGCTTAAATATTTGTAGACGGTCATGGGTATTTTACTAAAAACTGATGAGATAACGTTAATAGAAACATACGAGCAATCTAAATATTGATATTTTTACAAAAAAAAATATTCTGTCTCGATAATTCCTTTTCACCGACATGTATGAATAGCGCAATATTGCAAGAGGTATTGCACATCGAAAAAAATAAACCTTGTAATTAAGACCGATACCAACCTGTATGGTCAACTTTCTTTTAAATTTAAGAATTTAATAAATATATATTTCATCTACGTGACTGAAAGAGAAATCTCTAAGGCAGAAATACAAAAAAAAAAAAATACTGGGAACACGAAAGAAACTTTCGGAGATGATAATGGATGTGCTCAGTTAACCCGTACATGTATATAGACAAGAACGGTTTATGCTTAAATCGATTCAATCTTCTTCTACCTAGCTAAAGTTTCATATACAGTTAAATACTCTTACAACGAAATAAGTATTTGGGAGTGTGGACTTTGCTTCGCTATAAGCGTTACTTTTTAGAATTATTAACTCTGCAATTGATAAAAACTATATTGTGAATGAAATCATCTCGCTCTTAGCGTCAATTTTACAGTTAACGTGTTTCCTATAAGAGTGATTTATAGTATACAGTAAAACTCTGTTATAACGAAGTCACTGGGACTTATGAAATCACTTCGCTATATCCGTAATTCGTTATATCCGTATAAGGAATTCCTAAAATTCATATAGTTGGGGATCCAAAATGACTTCGCTATATCCGTGAATTCGCAATATTCGTGTTCGTACTAAACGAGTTTTACTGTATATGCGTGCCAGGATTTGATTTTTCCTTCAAACTTTACCACTCACAGCACCAATATAGGCAAATTTCACTACATGGTAAAAATGCAATTTAGAGAAATCAGCGACACCAGTGTAACTAAAATGATCGTATGAAAACACCACTTAATTATCTCACGCTTTCTTTATCAGTAATACTACTTCACGTTTCATATCAACTTCTTATTAACCAATAAACCTTTTGTATCTCAATTAATCACGTAACTGACTTACCTAACCATGGATTTCAATAACAAGAGTTTGCAAATTAACAAATATTTATCATTTTAATAATTTTCTTTAATTAACAAAAAAGGATATTTACATCTATATATCTAAAAAGAACAACTGATATACTAACGACCTATTCAACTTACGGGACATAATTAAAAAATAATGCCTTCCTAACAGATGTACAAAATCCAGAACCCGTCCTACCTAATGCTATCCAACCCTGCACAAAAAATCCACTATGCCTAACCTAATCGGTTTACCAAATATAGATAGGAAGTGGAAATTAACACTAAAATGGACGTGTTAATGAAGGAAACAAAAGGCCAACCTGAAGAACTTGAACGATACAAAGAACTGAATCCATCCCTCTTATTTAAAAGTCAGCTGGCACGACCATTTGAGAAGGTTCCACTGATTCTCAAATTATAGTCTCAATTCGCTTTAAATAATGTACCGTGTTTTAAGTAATATAAAATTTCTAATAAATTTTATTTTCTGCTAGTCTTATGAACCATTGTTGGTTGTTGATTAAAATACAACAATTGTTTGTTGTAACTTGAATGATTGTCTTAGGCGAAAATCGCATTTTATAGCAAAAATCGATATTTACGTTACTGTCGCCGATTATGGTGGAGTTTTTTTTTTAAACCAAAAAGAAGTTTTAAATCACTTACATATCTTTTTATTAGTAAGATTGTCCTACATTTGAGTTATATTTTCTGAATATCACACCCTTCACACATATGCGTGTCACAAATTTAAAAAAAATTAATATATTTATCAAATTTTGATGTCACCGCAAAATCATTACTTTTCTATTTGGAAATTCAAAAGGACTTGAAGGATTGGTGAACTGATTCAATAGGATTAAAGTGTAACTTTTTAACATCATGAACACCTCTTCCATTGCATGGAATGGTAAAAAAGACACTGTTTATCTGTATTTATAGAAAATAGCCCCCCTTTTATTATAAGTCCAATGGTTAAAAAATTCATCGATATTTACGTGTTAGTATTTATTCACAAATTAAGTAAGAGAACTACACTGTTTCCTACTGGTCAAATTGCCTTACACTCAAGCACTAGAATATGCCTTTAATTAACAGTGGAATAATTAAACAACAGCATTAAAAGTTACGATAAATCTCGAAAAGATATGTACGTTACCCATATTTACGTTACCAATATTTACGTTACCATGTTTTAAAGTAAATTTAAATTAAAATCTAAAGCTGTTTGAACAGATTTGTGAATTTTAATGATTTAAAAACTAAAATCATGAAGAAATACCCTGTTTCTTAAAATGGATTTATTTTCTGTAACAAGAGTGCAGAAATGCAAAAATGCAAATGGAAGTGCACATGCAAAGGTGAACCTTTTTTGCACAATATTTTGTGCATCCTTGTGATTTGAAAATTGAATTGACATACGAATAATATTATTCACAAGTAGAATTGCGGTTTAATGATCGAATTTTTCCATTTTGAGCAATTGGTTAATATTGCAAAGTTTTAAGTGCAATGCACGTTATCATTCAGAACGTAAATCTGAAACAAAACTTTCCTAAAGTTTGTATTTTGCTGTTTGTTTGAACTGATAGTGTGTCATCAACTTAAAAAAATCGTAATATACACTTAAATTGTATACCAAGCTAAACATTTTGAAGAAGAAAATATCATTTTTCGCAGGAAATATAATTCCACAGAATATGCACTGCGCTGCAGTGTGTGTGTGTGTGTGGGGGTGGGGGGCTTCCACATCGGGTTAAAGAAAAAAGACGACTGTGGGTGTTGGGTGTCAAGAAACTGGTCGAAATTGAATCCATTTCCATTTTTGTTGCTTTGCAAGAAATACATGTATTAAATTGTGCACCTGATTTTTCCCATTTAAATTGTTGCTTAGACATACATGTAGAACTTAGAACGTATGCGTCTATGCTTTAATGGTACTGAAAATTCAATTTACGTTATATTAATGTAGAATGTACGTATATTGCTCTATACAGCACATATTATTTGCAAATGTAATTATTAACAAACCTTTTTAAGGGTGGTGGGGGTAATTTTGTTTTGTTTTAGAGATTTGACAATAAAGTTTTCACAAGCAATTAAGCATTTGAAATAATCAACAGATTAAATGGTGGAAGGGGGTGTCATAAATTAAATGATTCCTCTACAGATAAGTAATAACCTGAATTTTCAATTCAACCCTTTGTCGAGAACACAGTTAAGAAAATTCATAAAATTCAATAATTTGAAATAATATATTCATTTTTCCCGAATATACTTTTATTTTTGTATGATATCTATGTGCGATATTTACGTGATATTTAACAAACACTTCGTAATCAGGTAATGGCGAAATATTTTACCTGCTGATATTTTAAATAATGTGCGTTTCTCTGAATAGATTAATAAAGAATCAAATAATGAAGTATTTTAGGTAATATTGTCATTATTTAGCTTATCGTCAGATTTGATAAATACTTCTTAAAATAAAAAGAAAATAATTTAATTCAAGTGAGAATTATGCCTGTTTTGTTTTTGCTAATAGTTGAATCAAAGATTCCACACCCTTTTACAAATGTGCTTAAACAGTTTCATAAATGTTTATAGTTGACAAAATTCGATGTATATTATCTTAATTTTGTATTTTTCAAAAACATTCTTTCGTTTCCAAATGTGGCTTTTCAACATCACGTAAATATCTTGGTGTAAAATTAGCCCTCCAACCGCATTCATTTCGAAGGAGGTCAACAAAACACAGCATGAAGTATGTAAATCAAATTGTGATTTTTAATAACTATACACTTTCATGTTTCAAATGACGTATAAAAGTGATAGTTTCAGTTCACAAAATTTTTTGACTTTTCCCAAAGTCGATTTGGCACTATAAATTGAGAATGCGTGATATACATAAAATACTGGACTTTATATACATCGGGGTCTGGAGGTGTTTCTCTCTTATCCAATCAAAAACTGTATTCTACGTATAACTCTGACAAGGTCGTTCCCAAAATCATATTGTAATTCGAGAGAGTTTTCCGAATGTAAAATAGCAATCTTAACTAAGTTATCATTATTTACTAGCTGTATAAAATCAAATCCTTCAATATATGAGATATCATATAGAATTTTTCAAACATGTAGATATTATTAGTACTATCTTCACTTTTTATGTAGCAAGTGAGTAGGGAAATATAACTCACTTGTCTCAAATTTAAAAAGGAGCTTTAACCAGAAAACTGAAATACCGAGAATTGAATTTAATGAGGAAAAATCTGGTGTTTTTCTTTTGTATTTAAAAACACTCCTTATTATTATGTTATGTTCGTCTTCTAAAAGTTATAAGCTACATTTTTTTATGTACGAGACACTTTGTTATTTTTCATTATTTTTATCTTGAAGATAGGCTTGCAGTTCTTTAAATTTGTTGCAATATTTGTAGGATGTGACCTGGGATTTTTCGGAGAAAATTGCACGAGATGTCCTCAGAACTGTTTAAATAACACATGCCACTTTCAGATAGGAGAATGTTTTGAGTGTAAGGATGGATACAGAGGACAGTATTGTCAAACAGGTATCTGTGTTTACTTTTATTTGATAGTTAAAAAATTGTTGTCAGGTCTTCACTTTTTTTAAATGTCAACGTTCTTTTTCTCTTGATATTTTTTTTTTTATTTGGACGCTTTATCAGTGGTTGGAGGATTACAGTTAAAACTGAGTCTTGTCATGGCCTCGAATAACCAAAATAATATATATTCAAATACTTTGAAATTTAATTTCAAAAGTATTTTGGGAAACTGTAAATATAGAAGATCGGTTGACAATAAGAACAAGATGTTCATGGGCTATATCGCTCACCTGAGCACATGGGCTGGTTTAAAAAACACAAATCAGCTTAGTATTTGATATCGAACTTGTTTGGGGAAGGGCAGGGTTGAATTTTTTTTATTACTTGAGAATGTCACTATATCATTTATTTTCCATACTTGAGAAGAAGAGTTTAAAGGGGGGGGGGGGGTCATGATTTGAACAAACTTGAATCTACACTACCTGAGGATGTTTCCACTTGAGTTTCACCTTTCCTGGTTCAATGGTTTTGAAGAAGAAAAAAATAATGATGTTCCTATATATTCCAGAGTAAAACTTTGATCGGCCATGCCATTGTGGCCCCGCCTACCCCTGGGGATCATGAATTTTACAAATTTGAAACCACACAACCTGAAGATGCTTCCACATCCGTTTAATCTTTCCTGGCTCAGTAGTTCTGGAGATTTTTTTTAATAAATCCTAGATATTGCTATGTAAAACTTTGCTCAGCCATTGTGGCATCGCCCTACCCCCGTGGTTCATGTTTGAACAAACTTGAATCTCCACTTTCTGAGGATGCGTCCACATGACTTTCATCTTTCCAGCTCCAATGATTCTCGAGAAGATTTTTTTTTAAAATGAGATTCTTCTATGGTTGTATATATATGCCATCTATATAATTGATTTTTTTTCAACATAGCATATCAAATTAAATCAAGATAACTATCTCGTCAAGTGATGATAACTTTCTTGTTTGTCGACAAACACAGATTTTATCTTGTAAAGTAAAGATAAGTTATCGTATTTTTTCGATAGCCTTCTCGACAAAAAGAGATAATTTATCTTCTCATGTCAAGATAGCTATTGCAACAAAATGTGATATCTCACTTGACGAGAGAGTTATCTCGATTTGAAATAATATGCTATGTTGACATAAAATTATGTGGATGGCGTAAATATGCCACGATATTTTTCCTATGTATTCCTAATTAAAATGACATAACATAAAATTAAATCAATATTTGCATAAAAACAAGCATGAATATTATAAAGGCTGCAATGTACAACTGTTTTAATGAGGTCAAAACATATGTCATGTATCCTTTTAATTAATCATTTCTGAGGAGAGAGAAGATTTGTTTTAAGCTTTTCAACAGTACTAAACACTCGCTACTTCGAATTAACAACAATAATTTATAATTTAATACATTTAAACAGTAAATTTCTAGGCTTTTGCGCTTGAAGAATACAAAAATTATGAGATATAGTCAACCCGTAAGTGGAGCTTTAAGTTATGGGATATGTATTTCAAACATTTATTCTTTGTACTACTTTTCTGCAGAATGTGACCAAGGTTTCTATGGACGACAATGTAGTATGACATGCAGTGATTCCTGCTTGGGAAGACTTTGTGATCCTACAACAGGTCGGTGTAATAGCTGTATTGATGGCAGATCAGGATTTTTCTGTGAAACTGAAGTTGGTGCAAGTACAGGTATATGTGATGAATTTATAGAGGAAAGAACTGACAATACATTCTGAAAAATACAATAACCGTACTATTGTATCCTTTTTTATTTTAATTCAATCGGAATACCGTATCCATATATATGCGTTCTTGAAGCATTTTTTATTCCTTTTTTATTCAAGAATATATACATATTCTTAAATTATGTTCATTTTTGCACTTTCAGTAAAAAAAACATTTTGATGCTTTTCTTTACACAAGTATGTAAATTGTAGATGATACATGTATAAGTTATAATGTGTATGTAAAGCAACGGATACCTGTAGTCAAGTTATAAATATACATGCATCATACGTTGTATTGAAGATTATTCATTAATAACTACAGTAAGCATGCTTTTTAAGAAGTGCCAGAATTGGAGGATCTTCCTTTGTTATAATCCTAATTCTTTATATCCTTTTACTTAACAATATAAAAGTTGAAGAAATAAAAAAAAATGCTGAAAGCGTCGATTCACTATAGGGATATTTGATATTAGCGTGATTTACTGTTAAAAAGCTGTCCTATAGTAAAAATTTTAATATTATTCCCTTTTTCAACAGACAAATGGACCATGATTGCTGTTGGATTGTTATCTGTGGTGGTGATATTGTTGGTAGTAATATTGCTTGTCTGTTATCTGAAGAAAAAACAACCGTCCTCTATACCTAACAACAGCCCTGGCTACGAACAAGCCATATCAAAAACAGAAAACAACAAATATACTGGTATCCATGCGGCGAAACCCCCTGAATATTTAGAGGTCGAAACGCCTCATTATATGGAGATAGAAGACTAAGAAATCAATACCAAAACAGAGTACCCGTACATGAATTTTGATCAACTATCAAATAATTGAAGGAGGTTATCTCGGCTATGTTAAGGAACGATATGGATAATGTGACCTTTGCACCATTTAAATATGTATTACTTCTCTTTAAAAATTGTAACAAAGCAACTGAATACTTGTAGAAAATAATATATCTATCAATATTGTATAGGACTGGGCCGTAGTTATTACCAGTTATATCGCACGTATCAGCTGTTGGTCACGTGACTTGTATAAAAATAGAATTATTAAGCTGAATCTAGGAAATGGGAATAGTGCAAGGGCATACGCTTGTTTTTCAAAAAAAAAATGATACACATTAAAAATAGTTTATTTTCTTAATCCAAAAAGTGCTGTGAGCTAGTCAGAACTGTTTGCGAATTACTTCGAATTTTGCAAAATACTTATAATAGCTATAAATTTCCACCTCGCTTAAATTCTGTTGTTAATAAAAATAATGTTATGCAGACCAGGTTAAGCTCCCAGCACTTTTCAACATATACACTATATAAGCAATAAATATTCCAAATTTCAGATCAAAGAAAATAGTCTATGCCCTTGCACTTTTGATGTAAATCACGAATACGCTCATCGTTTTAGCGATATTCTCTACATTCCCTATCCCTATTCAGCTTCAATCTACTAGATAAATTCATATTCTATACACATTGTATTTAATAGGTTATTTTCTTTTAGTTTTAATAATTAAGTTGAAAAATTAGCAATGATATTATATTTATTTAAGCATTTTTGTAATTATTAAACCAGTGAATCTAGTCCTCTGGATCACCAGTGCTGCGTTATGTCAAGGCTGATGACGTCATATTTGAAGAAAGGCTTTATTCTATTACTCGACTGTATTGCTATCAAGTATTGCGATTTTACAAGATTTTATGAATAATCGATACAATAAATAAATTCAAGTTGTTATTTACGCATGATCATGTCGTCAATTAATTTTTGTGGCTTGCTAAATTTCAATGACGTCACAGTTAAACTTACAATACAATATACAAGGAATATGAACTCTGACCTTCCTTAACATAGCTGAGATCCTGAAAAGATTATGATTATTTTAAGTAAAATTTATCATGTATATATTTTTGTATTTGCTTCAAAATGAGTGTTTTACCAAAACATTTATTCAGGATTATTCACGAGATTTGTGATAAAGAAAGCCTCTTTTATTGCAAAGGTAATAGTTTAATTTGAAAATAAACTAGACGGTAAAAGGATTCCCATATTATGTTTTTTTAAATTGCTTGATCTTGTTAAGTCTATCTAATCTCACCTTTCATAACAAGTATTTCTGATAAGAATGGGTTTACTCCTAAAATAAAGAAGACTACTTCAGAACGAGAGTCAAAGACAAAAATACCTTAGATATCCGATACCTTATACTGCATTAGTATGATAAAACTTGGAAAAATATATGAGATAAATAACGAATTGTTCTCTTTATGTTTTTTATTCCACCTGTCATCTTTTTCAATAATGGGCTATTGTATCAACAGTAGACTTTTCAAAGTGATTACTTTAAACGAGACTACTGATATTTTTGTTTCGCAGTACAGTTAAGGCAATACATAAAAAAAATATGGTAATGGGGTCATAATAAGGTCTGACATCATGACAATTGTTCCGCCCTTGTTGATCCTTATAAGGAAATAGAGCTCAAAATAACTATTTACCGATGTTTGCAAGAATTTGTAATCAGCGGCAGTATTTCATGTTTAAATATAAAATAGTTTGTGAATTTCTCGTATATAAAATAACATGTCTTTGAAATACGTCTGTTTTGACACGGAATGTTGTTTACATCTGAAAACGTGGCGATATCAGTTTCAGGAAAGCGATTGCACTCAATGACACGGAATATTGACTACATCTTAAAATGTGGCGACATCGGCTGTGAGTTGCAGTGGATTTAATTACATGCATTAACCAGGTAA